GCCGTCCGCCGTATTCACCGTCATGGCCACGCAGCGCGGCGCCGCGCACGCGCCCGGCGCCTCCTCGCGCAGCCAGTTGGTGAACTGACCCTCCTGGTCACCTGCGGGGGGAGCGCAACAAACACCGCAAGGTCACGCCAATCGCCACGATCCGCGCACGGTCGTCTCGTCAAGTCGAACTCAGCGAAGTCATCCGAACCGACCCGGGCTCCCACTCGAGGTCCTGCACCGGTGCCCGAGTCCGCTCCCCGAGAGCTCCTCTGCAAGCCAACCCAAACGATCCGCTCTCATCCAATATTCCCCGAGCCACTTCAATCCGATTTGAACGAATTGCGTGTAATCCATCCGAAATGAACCGAGACTGTAAACCAACCCAGTCGAATCGAGCCGAGTCTCCTACATGCTAGCCCATCCTCGCCTCAACTCTCCTCTAACTTGGTGGTCAACGCGTTGGCCGTCGCGCTGTTCGTCAACGCGGCCGCTAGAGGGCACCAGAATGCAGCGCGCCTGTCCTCCAACAGCCGCTCGCTCGCCTTCTCCGCTTCGTTCTTTGAGCTTTGGGCCACAAATGCTCAAATGGATTTTCATTTGGGAGAGTCCGAAGGAAGATATTTGATTTTACATCCATTTTAAATCAAATATTTTTGATTGATAAAATGCATTTCTTAAATCATGGGTGAAATCTCATTTTGTTTTAAATAACGTATTGAACCATTTTAATTTACTCTGTGATTAGTTCATTAGTTACAAATAATAGGAATGAAAAATGAAAATGCCTTGATGGTGCCCCCCAAAAAATCCCATCCGCATTCATACACGAATCAAAGTGGCGAATGTAGAACAAACAATTTGACGCATTTTTCATGAATGTGAAGCAGCTCGTTGATTTTCCACATGAAAAAAACGGACGCCCCCCACCCCCCAAAAAAAGTTTTTTTTTTTCGTGTGCGTCCAACGCGGATGTGCGGCCAGGCAAGCCAAAGGCGACCCTTCAGACGCCACCCGAATCGACCCGTCCCGACACGACTTACCGGTGACCCAGACGAATCCCCGCAGCGGGCGCGAGGCGGAGCACTGGCGCGGCGCTCGGTGCAGGCCGATCCAGAGGCGCACGCGCAGGCGGGCGCCGCTCGGCTCGACGTGCAGATGCAGAGGCGAAACGTTGCGCCGTCACCGACTAACCATTTTTGTTTTGTTTGGCATATGCCGCTTTGCTTTTCCACACTCGACTTTTGCCTCTTGGCTGTCCGCCGCCGCGCCGCCGCGGCGGAGCGCCGCGCGTGAGCGCGCCTCCCAAGCGGCCGCATGGCGAATGTCGCGGACGGGAATGAAAAAAAAGTCCAAAACGGAGGAAAAACAAAAAGGGAAAAGAAGAAGAAGAAGAAGAAAATCCTTGTTCAAAGTATCGCAGCCGAGTCGGGGCCAGTCGCCGGCTGGTACCAGGACCGGAAGCGGAACCGCACTGCAGCCAAATGGAATGTGAAAGGACGCCTGTTTGGGCTTTTCCAAATCAGGTGGAGATTTCACGCGTGTCACCTCTGCCGAGTCCGCCCGCGACTGAGGGAGAAGAAGGAGGGTTGGAAGGGGGGAGAGGAGGGGGGGGAAATCGGTTAGAAGGAGGAGAAATGGAGGAGAGGGGGGGGGGGAAAGGGGGCTTCTTGTGCGACGTCGAGGAAAAAAGTTTTTGGGAAGAAGTGCAACAAAGCCTGGAGGGCCTTCACTCAGTGTGTGTAGGCAGGGGGGCATTTTATGAAAACCATATGACCCGCCCCCCACACACACACACATACATTCCAGAGTGCAAAATGTTTGTCATCTAAGAGCGTGGTTGCAACCGAGAGAGTCGCAAGTGTGCGACGATTGAGAGCGTGCACATCGATGAGTGCGTGTGCCAGGTGGGAGAGAAGGCGTGCGTGCGCCTTGCACGCGTGCATCTCGGGGTGCGCTTTGAATGCGTGTGTCTGCGTGTGTGGGTGAGAGAGACTGTATGTGCGCGCACGTTTATAGGTCGGAGTGCGTGCGTGATGTTGGTGCGTCGGAGAGGAAAGAGGAAATGCCAGGTGTGCACGAGTATGGCCTCTTCGGAGTATGTTTTGGGGTTGGTTACCTTCAAGCTGACCCAACTCTTTTCTCTGCGCGTGTGTGCGCGCGCATTTTAGCACGGGGGAGGCGTTGAGTCGGAGCAGCGGCAGCAGTGGGCCAAAAAGAAAGAAGGAAGAAAACCCGCGGCTCCCGAAGAGCCTTGCGGTCTCGCATCCCTCCCCCTCCTCGTCTCGGTGGTCGCGCGGGCTTCCCACTCTGTCCTCGTCACCGCCTGCGGCCCAACAAACCGTCGCGTCCGCCGTCTGCTTCGGCGATCAGCGGCGGCGCCGGCCCCGCCCCCTTCGACATTCCACCGGCCGAAGTCCCGCCCCCCCAGGAACTTTTCCAAGGTAGGCGTCCGACGGGGACGTCCGGCCATCTTGCGGACTTTCCACAAGTGTGGGCGAGGGGCACGGGGGCCAGGGGCGCTTCTTTTGTCCGGGTTTGATGATTTCGCCAAGGCGCCTCCTTCGACCCGGCGCGAGAGGGTCAACGACAGGCAACCCACCCGCTCCCCAATCACACCTGAGACCCCCAGACACGGATGAGTCACGTGACACCGAGGATGGAAAAGGGCTACTTGAGGGCCCCGAGTTTCACGAAGGGGTCGACTCGCTTTTGTTGCCAGCGATCGAGTCACGAATGGCTGCGGCCTCATTTTTCTTTTCTTCTTTTGCATTTGATGTGAGGGACCGTCGCCAATATGTTCAGACATTATAGATCAAGAAAAAGCGTGGCATGTACTTGTATATCCATGAGAAAGGGTCGTTTTGGAAAAGAAAGGCGCACCAAAGAAAGAATTCATTTTATGTGAAGCGAGAAGCCTTCATGTTTGTTTTGGGTCGGAACAAAACTTACCGACTCAACATGTGTGCGGGTGCGCGCGCCAGACCAAACACTCGTTCGCTTTTCCCAACCGCGGGTGTCTTATGTCACACGTACACACGCATACGCACGTACGTGTGCGCACGTACGTGTGCGCGCGTGCGCACAGACTGGAGCAATTAGCCGCGGCCTCGTGCGCGTGCGCATATTCTCCAAGAGGAGAGAATGCGTGCGCGTGCCCGCCGGTTCGATCCCTCGCGCCACACTGAAAACGTTGCGAGCTGTCCGCTCCCCGGACGGACGATGGGGAGGAAATTCCTTTGCCAAGTCTGCACCCCCCCCCCTCCGCCCCCCATCCACTTTGATCTTCTCCATCTTGCAGGACTTGTGCACGCGAGAGCCGCCCGCGCGCACACGCGGAGCGGAGCAGAGGTACAAGTCATGGAAAGTTTGAGAGATGAAGAAAGCAGAGGGCATCTGGAAAAGTAGGACAGCGCGGAAGCTCAGATGACAGTGAAGGAGAGAATGAGGGGTCGGGGGAGGCTTGGGGGG